AAATAGAATTAGCAGATAATGGAATTTTCCCACTAGCTCTTTGATGCCCCCTCGTAGATTGCCCTAGCTCTACCCAAATAACTTTTCTTCTTCTTCTTCCTCTTCTTCTTCTTCCTCTTCTTCTTCTTCTTCTCCCTTCTTCTTCTTCTTCTTCCTCTCCTCCTCCTTTCTTCTTTCTTCTTCCTTTTTTTGTTGTTCTTAACTAAAATTTTGCCAAACAAGGATTTAGACAGAAAAGTTGTGATTTTTTAAAATTAAGTTTTATGTATTTTTTTCCTTCATTGATAAAATGTCTCTTTATTGCAATCCCATGCTTTTCTCCTGTCGAACAAATTATGTTTGCATTGGTTGGAAGGAAGTTTAAGTTTTAAATTCTTGACCTACTCACTGCACCTGCAGAGGATCTAAAATTGAGGTGAAAACACAAGGCTTAACCCCACATGCTCTCTGATCAAACCCAAAGGTTCTTAAAATAGCTTCCCTGTGGACATGCTGGGAGCAGCTGAAACTAGGCGTCTGTGTCCTTGCTCGCAACCTGGCAGATTAATACCACTGCTTAGGGGCAGCGGCCTGTGTCTCACACAGTGTCAGGACTGGCCCAGCAGCTTTAGCAAGAACAGAAGCAACCTTGATCCACATTGCTAGCCCCTCCTGAATTCCACCTTCTGAGTCAAGAGGGTGCTCCCAGCTCCACCACGAGACCTGTGAGATCCATCCCAAGCCACCAACATGAAAGAAAAGTAGCCTGAGTCTCTGAAGAGATTCAAAATAATATTCCAGGAAGAATCTAAGAAGTGAAGTTCTTGTGGATTTGCTTGTTCCTAGCTACTAATAGACAGTACTAGCTTTGTTTGGTACCTACATAGTTGCATGCAGTATCTTAGTTACCAGCAGATCAGCTTACTCTGTTAAAATCCATAGAAAGTCCTTCATTCACATAACACTGCTCAGCTCAGTTCCAGCTGTCTTGATACAGCTCTCTGTTAGCCATGCTTACTCTTTTTCCATAGAGAATGTTTTTTCCTGTGATGTTCTCTCTCTCACCCATCATAAAGTGCTTCTCCACAAAGGGCCCACTTATACTTTCACCAGAGGCAGCATCTGGACAGAGTGGACCACTGGGCTAATCTAATGTGAAATGTTCTGTTTCTAAGCTGGTGGCGCTTTCCAGCAGTTTAAAATTCCATTCCCACTTGCATGGAGGTGAATATACTCTTGCTCTGCCTTAAAAAGTCACCAAGCTTTTGGTAAAATCGTGAACAAGCTGGCAATATTTTTCTTTCACTCCTCTCATTCTGCACGCACACACATTTTAAAATTTCTTTACAGTGGTGGTTAAGAGTTGGTTTCAAGCTAAACAGGCCAGTCAGTTCTTCCATATTCAACTTCACTTTTCTACCCATGGAAAGGAAAAGTCAACAATTTATATCTGTTTTAGCAGTTAGACTGTGGGTTTTTTTGTTTTTTCAAAAGGCTGAGGGAACTACTCAGGAGAAAACCCAGAAGGAGCTGGGGTCAGGAAGAAGACTGGGTGAGAGGAAGCACTCTCTGCTCTGAGCAGTTTCCAGTTGCTAACACAACCTCCCAATTGTATCCCAGACCTGTGTGCATTCATGGTGAAAACTCACAATTGGGTCTAGTCCTTCATTCAATGAAATATTTCATGGCACTATGCATTTGAGTGAAAATGAGCTGGCTTAGTCCTTCAGATGTCTGAGACCCACTTTGTACATCTATTGAACAAAAAGTGGTAACCCTTGCCTATCCGGTAGCCCAGTATCACCACGAGGAGCACATGAGTGACTAGTTCCTGGGACAATGTAAAACACAGATAAGATTGTTTTGTTGTTGCATCATAGAAGGACTGGCCAACTAAAGTGAACAATAAAGTCCTGCTATTTTTTTTTTATAGATGGTCCCTAAATGATAGCAAGTCTCCCGCACACAGGTTAGACAGAAACCTCCTGAACTTCCATCAGATTTGAATGTGGGATAGCTGTGAAGCTATACAAAAAATTCTGTCCTAAAGTATTCTTTACCGCCTTCCTGTCTGAGTCAATTTTGAAGACACAAACAATATCGGCGTGTGAACCTTTGGCTCGCATCTGTAGGATGGAAGAGAAATGTTAGCATGCCCCACAGAAGGTTCAGGTACCCGAGGGAGCTTCAAAAACCTTGTTGGAAAATCACATTTTCCCATATACTTTATGAAGCCTCCTTGTATGTATTAAGTCTATATTCCACCTCTGTTATTTGGCGCTGAGTTGGTCTCTAGAATTATTAACATAACTTGCAAACTCTAAACACCCCTTTGTAAAATAGGGAAATAATCTGTTGTCTTTAACTCTTGTTTTAATCAGGAATGAGGAAGAAAATATGAGGGTGTTTCAAAATGTTCATGGAAAAATGAAATGAAAAGACAATGGCAGGGAAGATAATGAACATTTTCAAAAAAAGGTTTTGAAATATCCTGGTGTACTTACCATGGGAAATATAGATGCAAAATATACAGCTTCAAGCCACTAGTCCTTGGCATCTCTGCAGATTCCTGCCCTCTGGGCTTGTGGAGACTATGTTTGCCCCATGCACTTCTGAATTTTTAGCAACAAGCACAGCACTCAAAAATATTTGCTAAGTGGATGGATGGATGGATGGATGGATGGATGGACGGACAATTGAACAAGCCCTAGTGGCATAATTGTTACTCTTTGGATTGCTAACTACAAGGTCAGCAGCTCGAAAACACCAGTCGCTCCCAGGGATAAAGACAGGACTTTCTACTCCCATACAGAATTACAGTCTCAGAAACCCACAAAGCAACTGTACCCTGTCCTATATAGGAGGCTACGAGTCAGAAGCAACTCGATGGCAGTGAGCCTTGAGCGAATTCTAATGAAACAAACTCTGTGATGTGTAAATGATTAGTAAATGCTGCTAGTTACTAGTTCGCGTCTAAGGAAGGCAAAGTAACCTTTTTCTTTGAATTTTTTGCTAAAATTTAAATATTAATGCTTTAACATTAAAATATTGGAAAGGTGAGGGAGAGATTTCAGTGGCAATGTAAAAGTCTGCTTTAGGTTGAGGCAAAGAATATTGTGAACTCTATTTTGAAGAGGGGGAACAAAAAGTACAAGTCATGTTACTTTTCCCCCAACCCCGTGTCTTTGAACTTGCCCAGCTCTCAGCAAGTTGCAATGTTAGTCCTCCCACTGCAATGTTCTACCAAGAGCACCATCATTTTGAAGAGATGTCAAAGTTATCTTTTTCTCCAGTGACAATGCTACTATCTAAGGCCAGTGTGTGCCTGACAATTCTTTATTTCAATAAGTTAAAGTAAAATTGACAATAAGACATGAACTGTAGCTGAAACTAAAGACTTTCAAAGAAAAGCTAGCATTCCCTTTCTTAATAATCAGAGCTAATTACTCTTTTTCTGTGCCCCAGATATGTCAGTTAATGTTCGTGCATTGGATACCACAAACTCGGCATTGTTCTGAGAAACTATCTGGAGAACTCTTTGCAGAGTGGACCTGTCTTAATTGCTTACATGTTTGTTGTAAGGAAGTGGAAATCACCCATGAAAATTATTGCTGCCTCAAGAAATTTCCAATAGCAAGCCGTTCCTCAAGTGTGATCTGGTTTTTAGTTAGGTATGGTGGAAATTCCATAATAGTTTCAAGTGATAACTGTGAGTCTTTTATTTAAAGTATTCGTTTTTGAACAGTAGCAGATCGATTAGTTGAAAAGTGCCACCATAGGAAAAGCATTTCCAATTGTAGCTGGAGGAATGCTGCCCTAGTTTGAATGAGTTCTTTCCCATAATACTCCATACCCTGCCTTCTTGTGTGCAGATTCAATGCCCACATGGGATATGGTGAGTGTGGGTAAACAGTCTGTGTATAGCACCTCCTGCATCCTTCCTGAGACGCATGGAGATACTGAAAATAAAGTCATCAGTTGTTATGAATGAGTGACTACGTCAGAGTGTTTGAACGAAACATGTAGCTGTTAGATGTGTTGAAAAGTATACCCACAAAACCCTCCACACTCACTGCTATGGAGTCCGGGCTAACTCACGGTGGCCCCTGTGGGGTTCTGAGACTGGAACTGTTTACTGGAGTAGAAAGCCATCTTTCCCCGTGGAGCAACCGGTGGTTTTGAACGACAAAGCATGCAGATCACAGCCCAACCTGTGAGCAGTAGGCTTCCTGCTCTAAACACTGAATGAGTGATACTTTCATTGAGCAAGTATTGTGAACAAAACTGTCTCTGGTATCAGTTGGCAGCAGTCTGCCCACCATGGCACTATTTTCCTCTTACACGGAGGGGTGACGGATGTGCCCATGGAGTCCAGTCGCCTACTTTGGGTTGAGCCAGAAAACAAGCTCTCAGTGGGTTATCTCCCAGAACTTTCCACGAACTCTGTCTTAAAAACCAGCTTATGCTGTCTCGTCTCCATTTACCAAAACTTATCAAAGAAATGTGAACAGTGTAAAAAAGAAAACAAAAACGATCTGCAAGCTATTTTGAAAGTGACATTTTTACCAATCTTTCTCAGAAAAGAGAATTTCTCTTCTCTAATCCAGCTATCCAGAAGACATCTCCAACACGTCGTGACAATTTTAAAATTAAAGCGTTTGTCATTCACATCTGCTTACAAAATCAAGTTAATAACAAGGAAAATCATTTGCCCCAAACCATTTCTTAATCTTTAACCATTTATCTTACTGTTATAAAGGGAGGAATCTAAATTTTTATTTTGACTATTTCCTTCTTACCAATTTTGCAAAACTTGAGTACTGTTTGGATAGTTCACTGCTCATGGATCTTACTCTTATTACCCTACAAGTCTCATCATTAGTCATAAACTCTTATTCCTACTTGAGAGTTACCTCATCCCCTCAAATAATATGCAGAAGATCCTTCTCGTGGTGAACAGTGTTAGCAATACCCGGCTGTTCCGTGACAGAATCATCCCCAGACCTACTTCCCACGCTTACCTTCTCGTGCAGGAACCTTTGTTTGATCCCATGTGGTTGTTCTCTCTTCTTATCCCACCTGAAATCCACGAGTAGAATCCAGGATCACCAACAATGTTTTCTTCTTTTCTTTTTGGGTATCCACTCCGTTTTTGTGTTATGAACTTCAAAGCCACAGAGCGTTTGCAACCAGGGGTCAACAATAGTTCTGCAAGTTCTGCAAAGAATGGGTAGTGGGGAGTCCACTACAGACTGAGCCCAAACACTAAATATAGTCCTCTTCCTTCTCCGGGCAGCGTCCTTCATACTCTGAAGTGAGGTGACCTTGCCCAAAGCCTCACCTCACAATCTGCTAGTCTCCACCTGCAATCAACTCTGACAAGACTAAGCTGCAGGATGAGGCGACCCAAAAGCCAGGCGCCATCTGCCCAGAGCAGACAAGTAGAGGCAGGTATAGAGCCTGTGAGTTGGAGTGTGTCGATGTGTGTGTGTCTCTGTGTACTTGCTTTCCTGTGCCCAGCAGCTGCTCTCCAGATTAGAAGACACCACCCTTTGGCAGGCGGCTCTGAATCAACCTCTTGGGTAATTTCAGATATGTGTCGGCTAAGAGTAGAAGCCTCTCAGGCACAACCTGGGCCCCCTTGCCCGTGCTGTTGCTGCCCCAAATACTCCGAGCCTGCACCAGCATCCTAAGAGCAGATGCTTACATGGGCATGAAATTGTACCTTGCAGCCATGAACTGATGTGAGCCTTGAGATTTAAGGAGCAAGGGCATGACGTCTCCTTTGACAGCCATAACCCAATGCACTGTAGAGATGTGCTATCCTTAATGCTGTGCTAAACTTTAACGCTGATGCCTGTTCGTTCCGTTGAGTGTCACTTGAGACTTTAGAGCAAAGTGCTGAAAAACCTCTAAAGCAAAAACCAAATGCATAGTGACATCATTCTTTCAGATTTCATAGTTGTATTACTCAGGCTTTAAAAAACTTTTCATACTTTAGATTGCAAACTCTGGTTTTCTTTACAGGACAGCACTTATTCAGGTGAGAGGAAGGTATTTGGTCCTGTATTCAACAAGATTGTATTGTATTGTGGATAAACTCACTACCTGCCAGCTTTATCCTTGTCCATTTTGACTCATGGTCCCCCCGTGTGTGTCAGTGTAGAACTGCTCCATAGGGTCTTGAATGACTGATTTTTTTTTTAATAGATAAGCAGGCTTTCGTCCGTGGCACCTCTAGAGGGATTCAAACCTCCAACCTTCCAGTTAGCAGCCAAGGACATTAACCATTTGTACCACCCAGGGTCTCTTTTCGATGTCTACATTATCCAATCTGTACAATACATATTATCCAATCCAATACAATACATAGAGAGAGTCCAAATAGCACTTTGAGGCTGATCATTCTTTGAAATAGGAGCCCTGGTGGCATAATGGTTACACATTGGGCTGCTAACTACAAGATCCACAGTTCAAAACCACCAGCTGCAAGGGCAGTTCTACACTGTCCTATTGAGTCGCTATGAGTTGGCATCAACTCAATGGCAGTGAATTTGGTGTTTTGTTTGTGTGTTTGTTTTTTGGCATAGTAATAGGAGAACTTAGGGTTTTTTATACTTTACAGATGAAAATACTGAGGTTTTGGGTGATTAGATGATCTTTCAAATCAGCCAGGCTAATCAGTAGGAGAACTGGGATTTGAATTTAGGTTGGTCTGAGGCTGAGCCCACAGCCCTTAACACATGGACTCCATAGAAAACGACGAGATGAAATTATCCATCAGGGTGCCTTTCAGCAGGAAACGTGATTTGCCAGATCTCAAATGGAAATCCTCTTAAAGAACTGTGCTATCCACTGACCACTAGCCATATGTGGCTAATGTGAACTGAGGTATGTTGGAATCATGATATACCAACTGGATTTCAAAGACTTAATGCTTAAAAAAAGTAAAATATCATTAACACTTTTATTACATGTCCAAATGGTTGTGTTTGAGGGGATACAGAGTTTAATAGAATATATCAGAATTATTTTTACCATTTATTTTTTATATTTTAATGTGACCATAAGAAAATTCACAGCACATTATGACTTGTACTACATATAATAATATAGTGTGGTGATAGTGTTTTATAGATATAAGGAACCCTGGTGATATAATATGTTACACACTGGGCTGCTAACCACTAGGACAGTTCAAATCCTTGGGAGAAAACTGAGACTTTCTGGTCCCATCAGATTTACAGCTTTGGAAACCCAAAGGGGCAGTTCTCCTCAGTCCTACAGTTTCAGACTCAATTCGAGGACAGCTTGTATAGTGTTGTGTTATTAAAACAAAAATACATCTTAAACTTTCCCCCTTTCGTGTGTCAGAAATTCTGAGATACCCTAACTGGCCTAATTGGTACCTCTTCCCTTCTGATGAGTCAGCTTTAAAGCAGTTCAAAGAAAGTCTTCCCACTTTTTACCTAGAATTATATCGGCAACATAGACTTTTGAAATACAAATAACCTTATGAAACAATAGCCATTTACTGTTTTCAAGTTTTTTACTTAACCATCTGCACGGTCTCCACTGGGGCTCTATTCAAGCGCTCACACAATTCTCTCTGCTTATGTACAATGATAAAATATACTTATCCAGTTTCAGCCCATGAAAGCTTCCTTGGGTCCCCATGAAATTGATCTTAATTAGCCTAATATTAAGCTTTAAAATTGGAGCCTGATACAGACAGACTATCGATAGCCACTAAAAATGGGTACTGGCTCAGGGAGGAAGTGGTAGACTGTATAGACCCTTGCCCAACAGATAACTGTGTCTACAAGAACAGTGTATCTAAGGGTCTTGCACTCCCACCAATTGGTAGGTGAGCAAGCATTGAAGTAAAGAAGGAAACTATAAAAGTTAAAATATTTTTTTAAAAACAAACTTTTTACTCCTTGATGGCTATTTTGCCTGAAGCATCTGAGCGTCACTCTCCTCTGTGGAGGTTTTGCGCTGAAAGAGCTAAAAGTTCAGTCCCATTTTCGAACTGACCATGTGTGAGTCAGTGACTTGATGACTTATAAGTTACCCAAGAAAGCACAACCCCTTCTTTTTAACTAGACTTCTACTAACAGTTATGACAGTAGGTTTCTGCAAGATGTTACGGGAAATGTACAGGGCTAGTTCCTGAGTATATGGTGTGCTTTACACAAAGTTGTTCTCTTGTTGTTCCTTTGAATATCCCAAAGAAAGTTGGGGCTCTCAGGAACAGAGCTGAATCACAGGGCACTACAGGCGTGGATGCACCCCTCTTTTCCCTGACTCGAATCCCAGATCCCTTTCTTCCTATTATTCCCATCACCCTGGAGCGGTTATGCTCCTAAGGGACCAGTACTTATCCCAGTTATTCCCTCTCTGTTGTCACCATTGCCAGCACCTTGCCTCTCACCTACTAGACTACCTGTTCCTGGAGAGCAGAGACCACCCCTCCCAGCACTGTAACCCCAGCCCGTAGCCCACAGTAGATGCCCAGTAGGTGGGTGGATTAAGAAACACAGCCTCTTTGCCCAAAGAATAAAGGGTGGGAGTGAAGCACCCTTAGAACAACATCTCAGGTAGCTGGAAGGTGAAGAAATAAGAAAAGCACAAATAAACTGATTGGAAGGTTTGTAATAACAGAGTTTTGAACTCTTTTCCTAACAATTGTTTCTGTCAAGTAGCAAAATTGATGACTTTGAACTTCAAATATTAACCCTCTCTTGAGAGTGGGATTAATGACCTAAGTTGCTGTTAGGTGTCATCAAGCGACCCCACACCCAACAGAAAGAAACACTGCCCTGTCCTGTATCATCCTCAGCATTGTTCCTGTACCTGAGCCTATTGATCCAGCCACTGTGTGGGTCCATGGCCTTGAGGTTCTTCCTGTTTCTCACTGCCCCTCCACTTTGCCAAGCATGATGTCTTTCTCCAGAGACTGGTCTCTCTTGACAACATGTCCCAAAGGATGTAAGAAAAATTCTCAACATCCTTGCCTCGAGGGAGCCCCTGGCGAGACCTATATATAGAAATGAAAGTCCCAGATAGTGAACAAAATAGAAAAGTAGGCCCAAATAAGCCAGTCTGTTGAGAAGAACCTGTCACTACCTGTGGACAGCATCTATGGAACACACATGTTTTTGAGGCTCCATACATTTCTAATGTGTCAATGAGACTGAGCACTACCAGCAACAAAATATGGGAAAGATCTTCTTGACCTCTTCATCTTGTTGTAGCAAATAAGCTGTGTTCTCTGGTTTCCAGGGACTATTTCTTCATATGCTTCAAGAATGCCAAAACACCAGGTGACAGCTGGTCTGGCTCTAGCATATTCCTCCAGTGTCCTATTTGGATAGCATTTTATAATGCTGTCTCTTGGCATAGCTGTCACCACTCACAGTCCTTGTTGATAGATACTCTGCTGAGATCTCTTCACTTTTCAACCATATCATCTTTCCAAGCGGGCACTGGCTGACTGATGATGAGAGGAGGCAAAGAGAGAGAGAAGGAATCATTCCAACAGCATTGCAGATTCCACCAATGTTTTCTCCTTGGCTAGAAAGTTCTTTATAAAACCAGAGAACACATGGCTTAGAAGCTTCTCTTTAAAGAGGTTTTTGCGTCCTCATCTTGTTTCCCTTATTCATTGCACATCTTAACAAGAAAGGCTCCTACACTAACTCTATACAAAATGTTAGAATTAGCAAGTGCTGTATTATAGATGTTTGCCATCATTGTAAAAAATCAATTTCACATCTGTACTAATCTTTCAAAAAGAAAGGAGGGCATTACATGTTTGTTTGTAATGTCTTCGGTATGGTGATGAGTGGAATAAAACTGATAAAATGTTACATTCCAGATATCAACATCCTAAAATCCCATGGTTGAAGAGGCTACATATAATAAAATAGCAATTATAATATTGTTTGCTTTATTTCTTTTTTTTTTAAGTACTTATTTTTAAGCCCCAGCTCAATTCGTGTCTTAGCTAATGTTGTCCCTGACATCCTAAGAGCAAGTGTATGCTTGCTCTTCAGCAGATTGTACTTCAGCAGCTATTTCTGGAGGGCATGCCATACACCATGGCCTGTTCTAGGCCTTGCTGCTCAAAAGGCAAAATAAAATATCGCAACCTGTCCCTAAAAACTGATTGTCTCCTGGATCTACTAGGAGAGATAGACATCAACATTCTAGGTCTGCTGTGCTGACCATTATAATGTAGGAGTGGACATGGTCCTGAGTCTTCCTGTGGTGAAGGTCAGGGAGGCTTCACAGGGACAGAGAGAGGGCAAGGTGCTGAGTCTTTGAACTGGACACTTTGGGGAAGGAGGCCAAAGCTTCTGCCAGAAGAAAGGGGCATCCTAGGCAGAGGGCATGGTGTGAGCCCAAGAACTCTGG